CACCAAATGAGCGAGCCAACAATGCAGAGCTGAAAAGTGGGCTCCGGCAGAGAGGGAAAGTGACGGGCCCCCCATACGTCCCTCTGCTTATGCCACAGACAGTGCCGGCCCGTCGTACGGCTCTACGTGTCGTGGAGGAAGCTTGGCAGCCCTCTCCTGGATGCCCGCTGTGGCCTCCTCTCCAGTGCACCAGCATCCACATGGTCCCTCTTCCATCTGTGTTCAATACTGCAGCCAGAAGAGTCTTTTCAAAACACGAATCTGATCGCATCATGCTCCCCTGCCTGAAAACACGGAATGCCCCTCCCTCACCGCCCACAGGCCCTGTAGCCCTGCCTGCACCTCTCCCTCCAGGCTCATCTCAGGTGGAGCTTCTGCCAGTTGTGTGCTGGAGCCGCTCCTATTGGTGAATACTCAGGAACCTTTTGGCAGCTGGAAATTGACCATGGTGGAAGTATTTACACCAGAGTAATCAACAAATGCTAAAGATCAATCCCTGCCCCCCAGCTGGTTGGCCAGCACACTGCTGCCCCCTGCCCGCTGTGCAGCTCCATCACAGGGTCCCTGCATGTACTGTTTCTCTGCCTAGAACACTCTTCCTTCTTAGCTGCATTAACTTAACTCTTTTAGACCGAAGTCCGAGTGCTACTTCCTCTGGGAAGCCTTCATTGGTGTCTCAAAGTCAAATCTCAACCTTGAACCTCTCCTTCTTAGCTTGTATCACAGTTGTCATTTCACGTGTATTCGTGTGATGAATGATTATTGTCTGTCTTTCCTGTGGGAATGTAAACTCCATGGCAAGAGAGACCACGCTTGGTTTTGTCCCCTAGCTTTGTTCTATCACTGAGCACGGTGCCTGGTACATGGTAGAAACTCAAAAATATTGTTGAGTGAGTGAATGAGTTAGAGAAATATGCACTGGACAGGAAGTCCTAAGCTCTGGCTTCTGTGGCAAAGACAACTTCTGCTTGTTTCTCCTCTGTATTTCCCAGTCTCCTCTGTTATGTTATGGGATGTCATGTTATCAAATTCTGACTCATCAATGGGGTGAAAGCCATGTACTGTTTCCAGCTATGGCCTCTGAAATGTCACAAGTGGTCTTCCATTCCCTCACTTTTCTCTGTCTGCATGGCTGGAAGCAAAGGAGTCACAAGACAGAAAAAGCCCAAATTCCCGAGTCACTGATTAGAGATGAACTGCTCACACAGGTCCCCTGACCCTCCTTAAACTGTGATAGGAGCAAGATATACTTTTATTGAATGAATACCTGAGGTTTGGAGTTATTTTTTATTGTGGTACAACCTAATCTACCCTAACGTAAAACACCTTCCCAGCTCTGCCATTAACTCCTTCTACCCTGCGGCCAGCCACCATCTCTCTGGGCCCCAGGTTTCCTCTTGGTAAAATGAAAGGATTCCACACAGTGATCTCTGAAATCCTTCTGGCGTTAAAATTCAGTTGTTGTGTTTGGATATTTCCTCCCTCCTGCCTAACGCTATAGGCAGACACCATAAATGTTTGCTAAATAAGAGTACCTCTTACATTTGAAATCCTTCCCCACAGATAAAAGCATTTTAATATCTTAGAAATTCAAAGCAGTCGCTCAGAATATTTAAACAACAACATCCAGCATCCAGCAAGTAAACTATCCAACAAAATCACACGGTGCTGTCCTCATCAAGAGGCTGCGGGGGCTTCCCTGGTGGCGCAGTGGTTGAGAGTCCGCCTGCCGATGCAGGGGACATGGGTTCGTGCTCCGGTCCGGGAGGATCCCACATGCCGTGGAGCGGCTGGGCCCGTGAGCCATGGCCGCTTAGCCTGCGCGTCTGGAGCCTGTGCTCCGCAATGGGAGAGGCCACAGCAGTGAGAGCCTTGTGTACCGCAAAAAAAAAAAAAAAAAAAAAAAAAAAAAAAAGAGGCTGCGGCACTGCCAGAGATCTACTCCTCAGCCTTCCAGAAGCCCCCCAAGCATCCTGCTCTGTCTTCCCTGCGGTCTGGTGGCCCCAGCGTTCCAATTATCTGCAAGCCTCATCCTCAGACTCCGTGTTTAGCCAACCCTCTCAACGGCCTTTCTCGATGGAGACGATCTCATTTCTCAAAGGATCCCACTAATGTCTTTTCTTACAGAGTTGTCTTTAAGGGCTGCTGCCTGGATATCAGTAACCAAGAAGCAAAAGTCACATCTTTGATGAGATGTAGCCAAGGTGACCCAGAGTCCTATGACTTAACTGCGTTTCAGATCTCCTGAGGTCTAGCCTAGCTCTGCCATGGGTTCACTGTGTGTGAAAGAGGCCAAAGCCCAGCTGCTCTCCTTGGGCTGGGGTCCTGTTAAAAATGAAGTTCCTGTTCCTGGGTTCCTGTTAAAATGGGTTCCTGGGTTCCTGTTAAAAATGAAGGTCATTGCAGCTGCTAACATCTCAGTAACCATAGTAACACAGGACCACATGACAGATGTCTGATCTCCATCAGAAAATGTCTGGTATTAAGTGTTCTTCATCCTTTCCCTCACAGCCCCCCCCACACACATCTTGTTAGGTGGCATTGAAGTTCTCCCAGGGGACCAGCTCAGGCATGGGAAATCCGGACTGAGAGCATTAATTAAACCTCTTATTTCCCCAGAACATTTTGCATTGCCAGGCCCGGGAGCCAAGAAAACCTCCCAGGGAAGTTCTTATGAGAGAGGATGCTAACTCCACCGCCAGGGAAAGAGGCACTCCAGCTCCACAACTGGCAGCAAATGAAGCTCAGTAGGAAACTATGCCTGGCATACAGCAAGCACAAAATGAATACTTGCGAAAGAGTCAGTTTAATCCAGTGGAGCTCATTTAGCAAATGGGATTCCTCTTGAGCCACTGGAAGTCCTGCATGAGATCACGTGAACCATTCACCCTTTTCAACAGTTCCTGAGTGCCTGCCGCAGGCACCCATGGGTGATAGTACAGAGGCTCTAAAGGTATTCATTTGCTGAATGAATCCCACGTCCCCGGGACTGTCTGGGGCTCGAGGACAGGTTGGGAAGTATGTAGAGGGCAGGGATCACATCACAAAGGGGCTCTGGATTCAACTGGAGTCTCTCAGGTTTATTGCTGCAGAAACTTTGAAAACTTTTATGCATGTGAGTGACAGGATCAGCTCTGCATTTCAGAAACATCCTTCTTTTTTTTTTTTTTTTTAATAAATTTATTTATTTATTTTTGGCTGTGTTGGGTCTTCATTTCCGTGCGAGGGCTTTCTCTAGTTGCGGCGAGCGGGGGCCACCCCTCATCGCGGTGCGCGGGCCTCTCACTATGGCGGCCTCTCTTGTTGTGGAGCACAGGCTCCAGACGCGCAGGCTCAGCGGCCATGGTTCACAGGCCCAGACGCTCTGTGGCATGTGGGATCCTCCCGGACCAGGGCTCGAACCCGCGTCCCCTGCACCGGCAGGCAGACTCCCAACCACTGCACCACCAGGGAAGCCCCAGAAACATCCTTTTTGATGCCCTGTAGGGAAAGGATTAGAAGGAGACTATTGTTTTGACCAAAGAAACAGTGTTCTAGGACTGCTGAACCCAGATCTTAAGGGAACTGGCAGCTTCTGCTTCCTTCCTCTTAGAACCTGGCTGCCATGCTGTGAGAAGCTCCAGCCACGTGGAGGAGAACACAAGTGCTCAATACACAGCCCAGCTGTGCTCTGGGCAGCAGCCAGCACCTACTGCTTGCCATCTTGGATGTCCCAGAAGATGTCAAGTTGAGTAGCAAAACCGCCCAGCTGAGCCCAGTCAACATGAGAAGTCACAAAAGAATCGTTCTTGGGTTTATCTGCCACGTCATGGGTTTATTCTGCAGAAGTAGATAAACGCTGGGAGGTACCAGATGGTGGTCATGTCTTGGGCTCAGCAGAAAAGGTTTGGTTGGAATGATCATAGATTTGGGAGTCATCAGCTTCATGGGAAGTTGAGAGCCCTGTTTCAAATGAAATCACCTCCACTCCTCCTCACGCATGTCCGGCATGCTTAGAGCACAGCCGACTCGCAGCAAATGCTTGCTGACTTAAATGAAACCCTGCACAATGAAAAACACTGGAAATCCCTGTTTTGTGATTTTAGACAGTCCTCCTCATGCCTGGAATTCTAATTTCCCCTCACTCTAAGCTCACTTATTTTCCCCCTCTCTGAATCAACGTGTGTACTCCGAGCTGCTGCATGCGATACTCTTTTATCATTCTAAGAGAAGTCCTTCCTTGAGGGTGGCCTGTGGACTTGGAATCTGCACACCTGAGTTTGGGTTCAGGATGACTGGATTTTTCTAGCTACCCCACATCCCCTCTGAGCCTCTGGCTTCCTCATCTGTAAATGGAGATGAGAATATCTGCAAATCTGATTAGGTAATAATGGTAGAGTACCGGGTCACGGCTAAAGGAAGTGCAGATGTGAAGAGAATCATTGCAGTCATCTCCACCAGGATGCGGTACAGCCCCTCTCCCTGGTGGTGAACATAGGGCAAGTCCGGGAGAAAGGAAATCTCCAGCTTTGTGTGTTTGAAAAAGCTCCTGTTGATTTTCCAGCCTCCTCGGCCAGAGAGGGTGAACAAAGGGTTAGCAGTCTGGTAAAACGACCCCCTACCCGGACGGAGTCTCAGGCCTGGGTTTGAGCCCCGGTTTCCCTGCTAACCTAACGCACAGTGTGACCTTGGCCAGCTCCTGCCCTTCTGGGACCCAAGTGTCCTTCTACGTAAAGCGTGAAGGATGGCCCGAGACGACCCTCACGTTCCTTCCACCTGAACGGCCCTGGCTCCGGTTAGGGTCGGGGGTCTGGTCACATGCTGGAGGGGAGGGATGCTGGTTGACGCGGAGCTGAGCGCGGGCGCACCAGCTCGCTCCGGGTCCAGCCTCCTGCTCTGACGTCCTCGAGCCGCCCTCCCTCCCCGCCCCCCCGGCGGCTGGAGAGCGGCTGGCGCGCCCGGATCCCAGGCCCGGGAGGTGCGCGGCGGCGGGACCGAGCCCCGCGCGGGGAGCGGGCACCATGGTGCTGTCGGTGCCCGTGATCGCTCTGGGTGCCACGCTGGGCACGGCCACCAGCATCCTCGCGCTGTGCGGGGTCACCTGCCTGTGCCGGCACATGCACCCCAAGAAGGGAGTGCTGCAGCGGGACCTGGACCCCGATCCGGAGAAGGCGAAGCCTGGCGTGCTCCGGTCCCAGCAGGTGAGAGGGGGCGGCGCCTTGGTCTCCCCGGGCCGGGTGGGGTCTCCCCGGCAGCGGCGGGGGAGTGGGTGGCAGGGAATGGTCGGCGTTCTTTGCACGATAGAGCATGGCGGGGTGTGGGGACCGCGGACGTGCTCGGGGACCCTGGGTGGGAGGGGGGGCCGTCCTGAAGGCCTGGGGGTGGAGGAGGGGTTGGGGAGGATAATGAAGGGTATGGGGGGCTCGGGGGGACAGGAGAGGAACCGGGACAGCGAGCGCTAAAGGGGCGGGCATGGGAGGGAAAAGGGAAGCGGGCTTGGATGGGAATGGGACTGGGAGGGGAGCTGGGGGCTGGGAGGCGAGCGTGGGGATCTGGGAGGAGTGATAAGACCGGGAAGCTGTGAGAGGGCCCGGGGAGCGGGCGGTGAGGGTTAGGGGAGACTGAGAAGGGAATGTGCAGAATGAGAAGCTCGAATTGGGGGGAAGAAGAAGGGGGTCTGTGAGAGAGAAGACAGGGGGCCAGTTGCGGGCTGGCACAGGGAGAGCATTGACAGAGTCGAGAAGGGGGAAATCCACCACAATCCAGAGAGGAGGCGGCCGCTGTCGCTGCAGTGGGAGCTGGGGAGGGGCAGTGGTGCTGGGTGTGCCTGGGGTCTGGAGAGGCAGATGAATATGGAGGGGCCTGGAGGACCCTCACCCTGTCCTGGCAGGTCTCAGCTCCAGCCAGACTGAGCGAGTAGCTGAGACCTCCCCGAAGGTGTGTCTGGAGATGCCCCTGGAGACAGGAGGGCTTTTATCCCATGCATCAGCTTGTCCCCAGAGCCTCTCTGGGCAGGAAATGGGTGGTGTCCCCATTGTATAGAGCAGCAGAAGGGGTCTGGGAAAGGTTTGGAAGGACAGCGCTACATGGGCTGCGATCTCCAGGACACATTCCCAAGGTGGTGAGTGCAGAATGTCCTCTGGAGACCCGGAAGGAAGTATGGCTGGAAGGACTGGAGGAAGGCAGGCCCTAGGGCAGGGGGTGACTTAATGACTTCCCAAGGCCCTCTAGATTCCTTCCAGAGCTTAGAGTTCCAGGGGAGGCACTATAAAGCTGTGATTCCACCTTCCCTTTGCCAATTAATTATTCAAAAGCTCAGACCCAGTTGCTCGGGGCCTGTGTCAGTCATTGAGTGTAGAAAGAAATGGCTGCTGTCCTTGACACACTTACGATCCGAGAAAAGTGACATTGACACCGGCAAGAACAGGAGACAATGGGCAGTGGGATGTGGGACCCAGAACCATCTGAAATGGGAGTAGTGGGCTACCCACTCCAGGCGGGCACAGGGCGGAGGAGGGGGTGTTGGATGAGCCCTTCTCCAGACGTTGGGTCCTCAACCTCCTCTCCCATCCGGCACGCTTCAGGGACAGCCATGCGTCTGCCTTTCACAGTGATGGCTCTTCAGGCACTGTCTCCTCCCCTTCCCAGAGAGAACCGCTGCGGACAGTGTTGGTGTAAGTGACCTCCGGGGTCCCTTCCAACTCTTTGTCTTACTGAGGACCAGTAGCCCACGCAATGGCCAATGATCTGTTAAAGACAAACCAGATCACGTGTCTCCCTGGCTTAAAATCCTCCACAAGTTCTCACTGAGCTTGGAACAAACGCAGCAAACTGGAGCCTGGCACGTACTCTGCACCAGGCTCCGTTCTCAGTGCTTTACACTTAATGCATTTAGCAACTCGATGAAGGACATATATGATGAGCCCAACGTCAAGCTGAAAAAGCTAAAGAGAGGGCGAGTGACTTGCCCAAGGCCACACAGCTCGAGCAGTTTCAGAGCCGGATCCTAGTCGAGCTGGTCTGGCTCTGGAGTCCGCGCTGTTAGCCACTGCACTCCTTCACCTACTCGATGTGGCAGGTGTTTACCTCCCCAGCCAAGCTCAGGCCAGGTGCCCGCTTCACGGGCCGTCTCAGCTTCCCTGGATTTTTTGATCCTTCTTGAAGACATCAACCCTTCCCATTTTCCTCTGGCTTTTCACACAGATAGCTCCTTCTCATCCTTTAGGTCTCTTTCTGTTAGGATCTTACCTCCTCAGGGAGGATTTTGTCTACGGCCACATGTAACAGAGCCCTCCCGCCCCCATTACGTTCTCCATACCATTCCTTCCCAATTCTTTTGTAGCACTTGGGACGGTTGGATGGGATTTTTCGTATCTGCTCACTTGTCCAATATTTATTCCCAGCACCTGCTCAGTGTCTGGAACCTAGTAGGTGCCAATAAGCAATTGTTGACAAATAAAGGCATCCCAGTGCCCAGCCGTTGGGTTATTTCTTAAAATGTGGATGCATTTTGCAGTCCCTGTGCAACCCAGGGCTAGCTCGTAGGGACACAATAAACATTTGCTGATACGTGAGACCCATCCATTCACATCCCTCACTCGGTTCCCTCAGTGACAAGGATTTGGGCCCCTGGGGCTGAATGTGTAGGTGTGAATGTGATGAAATTGAGGTCTCACAATGTCGTTTTGGCTACCATTGTGCTCAGACTGATTCAGCTGCTGACCCAGATAAAGTACACAGAGAAAAGACACTATGTGGACATTTCAAAAAAAGTAAAGGAGGTGGGTATTAGGGGTGGCAGATGGCAGCAGGGCGATGGGCGTGGCACATGTTGACAGAGAGGAGGAGAGTCAGGTAAGGAAGGCTCTCTGAAGATGTTCCTTAAACAGAAAGGGCATGGGGGCTGGGGAAGAGTGTTCTAGATTCCTGTAGCCACTGGGATTTCTCTGGGATATAGAGTGACCGCCCGTGTCTCTCTAAGTCGCTGATTGTGGTTGCTGGAAAAATTCCTTGGATTTGTTGGCCATGCCTGGGAGTCCAATTTCTGGTCATGAATTGTAGTGATTTTGAAAAGAACTTTGAAGCTTTCCCTGAGGGTTCTTAACCTGAGGTCCACGGACCCCAACAAGGAGTCTGTAGCTATACTGTAAGGGGTTCTTGGTCTTGGAGAGGAAGAAATTGTATCTTTCTTTTCATTAACGTCTACATGAAACTTAGCATTTTCTGTAAGTAGGAGTATAAACAACACACCACAGGAATATTGGCCATATCTGTGACCAGGTCCTCAACGGAAATCACGGATAGTTTCAGAGCACATCACAGCTGTTGCAGATGCTTTATGATACCATTTACGCTCACCTCTAATTCTAAATTATGTACTTATTAAATCCCCCGCTAGATCCTATTATCTAATGAAAGAATAAAGAGGCGCACAGATAACCATTTCCCCAACTGATTTTATTAGATGTACTGTCGTAGTCCTGTGTCTTTTATTTGCTGCTTTTCAGACGTTCTTCTCCAGACAGCTGAAGGGATCCATCCAGCATCTCCACCATGTGGGAGGTGGCAGAGGGTGCAAACCCTCAGTCACCGCTGTTCATGCCTCCAGCTAGCTTCAGTTCATTATTTTTCTTGGCTTTTCTGAAATATACACTGTGAACCCTTTATCCTGCCTTCTTACACAATCCCTCAGCCTCACCTGCGTGCAGCCTTGCCAGGGAGGAGAGGGATTCAGTTTCACTACGCTGTCCTTGTGATCTGGTAGCATCACCTGGGACCTCCCTCCCTGTGGTCAGCCCGTCTTTCAAAGCTCGGTTATTATGCAGTGATTATTGGATGCTTGAGCCAGGAGACAGAGCAGAGAGGCAGACACGGGGTGTGTGTGTGTGTGTGTGTGTGTGTGTGTGTAATCATCTTCGCTTCACCGCTGCTGCCGCATCTCTTAGCAAGAGGCAGCCAGACCCATTGGTTCCTTCCCCCAGAATTTCCTTTTCATGCTCATCTGCACAGGATGTCACTCACAGCATTTCTGGGTCCTTGCAGAGGAAGCCCTCCTTTCGACGAACTTAAATAACTACAGAGCAAGTAAGGTGAACTGCCCTTCCCCACGGCTCAGTGCCCTGACACTTTAGCACGAGTTGCAGTCCTGTTGTCAGAAAGCTTTCATTTCAGGTCTGATTTTTCTTCCCATCTGGTGCTTACCTTGCTTACATGAATCTTCTCAAATGAGTCTCAGAGTAACCCTGCTGCTGTCCCCTTGAAGTTATGTGGTCAAAAGCTCCTAGCTCCCAATGTTACTTACTACCAAACTATAAAATCCTACCCTCCTTCCAGCAGAGTTGAGAAGGGAAGTGGCTTTTGATGGAACACGATGTTAGTCATTCAGGCTGTTATAAGAAAATACCACAGAGTGGGTAGCTTATAAACAAAAATTTATTTCTCTTAGAGCTAGAAGCTGGGAAGTCCAAGATCAAAGTTCTGGCCAATCCAGTGTCTGATGAGGACCTGCTTCCTAGACTTTTGGATGTAACCTCACCTGATGGAAGGGGCAAGGGAGCTCTCTCCTTCCACTTTTATAAGGGCACTAATCGTACTTATGAAGGCTCCACCCTCATGGCCTACTCACTCCCAAAAGCCCCACCTAATCTATGACAAAGGAGGTAAGGATATACAATGGAGAAAAGACAGTCTCTTCAATAAGTGGTGCTGGGAAAACTGGACAGCTACATGTAAAAGAATGAAATTAGAACACTCCCTTACACCATACACGAAAATAAACTCAAAATGGATTAAAGCCCCACCTCCTAACATTTTCACAATATTGATTCTTCCAATCCAGGAATGTGGTACATCTCTCCATCTGTTTGTGTCATCTTTGATTTAAGGGGGCACAAACATTCAGACTACAGCAAACACTAATAGATTCAAAGTTTTTAAGAAATAATTTAAACATATGCTGTATTTTTATCAAACAACATATGTACAGTGGAGTCCTCCCCCACACCCCCAAGATCAAGGAGTGTATTTCATTTTCCTTGTATCCCTGACTATAGCCGGTGTGATAACGGGCACATGATAACCCTTCAATGTATATTTTGAGTTAAATCATCATATCATGACATAACACTGAATAAGAGAGTGAAGATGCAAAAGAATGCACGTGGTTAAGCTTCCATTTCCACAAGATTTGAATTCAAGCCCA